GAACAAGATCAGTGATTGTATGACTATTCAATGTATACTTAGAAACTATTACTAATCATACTGACAAACTAATCTGATTGAAAAAGGGTGGCTCATGGAGTAGGTATTGTATTGTATTAAAAGCCAATTAATGATTATCAATAGTGAATTACCGAAATATTGAAAACAATTAAATTTGGGAAGATTATTATACAAAATAAGAACAATGAATTATTATAAACATGCAGAAGTAAATTCTTCTTAAAGGTTTCTCTTATTATTATTGTTTGAGGCGAAGTATTCTGTCATATTATAAGGCTGAATTCCTAATTACTGTTTTTAACTGCTAACAAGATATTCCAACTGTAATCCTAAATCGTTATTGAAACTCTGGAGTTTAGGAAATTTTTTGTTTTATGACTATACTACTTAATAATAATAATAATCAGCATTTGGTCATTTTATCTGTATTTGATTGGTTTAGCATAATTACAAAAAAACCTTTTTTTGGAATAACAATTTTGAACATAACACTTTCTTTTTTTTATTTTTTATATATTGATTGTTAGAATCTTTCTAATTGATATTTATCACTGTAATTTGACATATGTACATCTTGTACAAATTGCTTTGATATTGCCATTAAGTTATGAGTATTCTTAAGCATGATTGATGTGTTAACAGTGGAATCGACGACATTCGTCATTTCATGCTAACTGAGACTAGTCAACCTACTGTACCTACCACCACTGTGTCACCCCAAGACTCGAAACCAGTACAGTTAAATTCAAACACCTAACGTGTCATATCCACCTGGCGCTTGAGTCCAGATAGCTGTTGAGAAGATTCATGTGAAGATAACTAACTAATATCTAAATGAATTTACCAAGTAAATTTTTTGAGTTTTTATATGATAAATTATTGATTTATGTCATCTACATTCTAGCTCGATAAAAATTAGTTTTTATTCCCTGTGAGCATTAAACAGTTGCTGAAGTTTGTCAGTACAGCATATTTTTACTGGTATTTGGTTTGGTGAAGTGAGAACACTAATTACATGCAACTTCCTTAAGGCTTAACAACACACATTCATTTCTACATTGTTGGTTGTGACTAATCAACTCTACAAATTAAGCTGAGTATATTGACCGATAAATGAATAGTTCTTTGAATAACATGTCGTGTACAATGTTCATATATACAACTTAATCTCCTGAAACAAAACGATAATTTTATAATTTACATTACAAACCAGTTACATAGTTACGTAGTCACCAAAAATCAAAAGTTTTTGACCAGCTGTTCCATAATAACATCAAGCTCCTTAGTAACAAGGGATACTCTACACATAACTCATGTCTCATATGGTCGAAAAATCAAAATTTCACTTTTGAGATAAAAACATCTCCCGATATGAGATAAACGGCAATAAGTGTTTGAGCCCATTCGCATCGAACTGGGCTACATCTCTGGCTATTCTATGCCATACTATGTGTATACCATTTGCTATACTTTTATATAGAGCCAAAGGTTTTCTCTGAGACCAGAGTTTCGCTGTGAACACTGTGGATGACCTAGCATTGCTTTGGCAAATATTGCTAACAGCCGATTTACAAAGTTGATTAGCAGGGTGACCGATTTCATTGATACTGGTGGTTGTTTTGCAACATTCCCTGAGGGCCATTGTCATTGGGATGCTGTATTGCATATCGCCATTGCTAATAATAATGAGTTTGACAGTCATGTAAGCGGGACGGGCCAAATTGGCCTGTTCATGAGGTGCATATTGATTGGTGCGATCATGGATCGGAAATAATCACTATATGTATATACTAGTGTATATAAACGGTGTGAATGGTCCACCAGGGTGACAGGTACCTATATGATTGCACCATGGGATTGAGCCGAACTGTTCACGTTTAAATGCTAACACGTGGGCGGTCTCCTTGGTTCTCCTGATAACCAATGTAAAATTATCCTTGATATTAGAGGGTTAATATATATAATTGTTATGAATCCTTAGTAGTAGTATGCATTCACGACTTTACTATAAAGTACCAAACTCAGAATATCTAGATCTCCTGGCTAGTGCTTTACCTATGAACTAGCGAATTCGTACCTAATTGTTTATGTCGTTGAAATTCAATTTATCCACAATACTTTGTAATTATTACTCACTATTATTAGTAAGTAAATGTCTCACATCTAATATGATTATACTACCTCTTGAAGTTGGTCACTACTGAGAATAAGATAGTTTTCCTTAGAGATAGTTTATTACTTACTTATTTTAGCCTGTTATCACGCGAGGAGAATAGGTCGTCGACAAGAATTCTCCAACCTACTCTGTTCTGGACATTCCATTTCAGTTTTTCACAATTTCAGTTCATTCTTTTCATTTCTTGCAATATGTTGTTTGGTCTTCCTCTCATACTTCCACCCTGAAGATTCCACGTTAGGGCTTGTCCTGCAACGAATTTCGGTGCTTTCCCTAATGTCTGTCCTATCCACCTCCAGGACTTATGCCTAATTTGTTTCTAAGCTGTAAAATGGATAGATAGTTTGTAAAGATTGTTCAAGTTTTTTTAATTTACATGACGGGATCTATGAGGAACCAAGAAGCACCAGACATTTAGGAAAGAACATAACATAACCGCAATAAATTTTCAGCCTGTTCTTAATCAATCAGAAAATATCATTTATTGATGAATGGTTTATGAAAAATAAAACAGTGATACTTCAAAAGTAGATCTATGAATGTTTTCCATAGGTTATCCTGTCTGCGAGTTAATAAAAACTCATCCATATGGATATAAATTGTCGGTATTATTCAATCCTTAAAACAATCTAATCAGATTTTTGAGTATCGTTACGTCATTTTTAATCCGGATTAGGTATCTAGGATTCAAACTAGAAGTTTTCTTCGCAAACCAACATCACTTATCATCATTATAAATGTTCTGTAGCCATATGGATGAACAAACTCCACCTAGAAATCCAAGAACCGCTATCTGACAAGTTTACCTGTAAAATACAATGTCCCTAGCTTCGGGTTTATCACAGAATTAAGCATTTGATACAACCAAATTAACTTGTTGTGCGTGATATCTAAATTCAACGCGAAAACCTAAAAGTTGCGTTCTGGATATTGGGCTGACTCATCTTTACATCAACATTGATAGTTGTTTTGCTTATTCTCCTACTACTCGGTCGTACTGAATACCCAACATCAATAATGATCAATTAATTCGTAACTCTCATACGATATCTTCGTATAGTAACTCAAGTCAAAATACACCAATGTAAAAGTATACTAGAGTTAATTGTAATTTGATTCACAATATTAATAACTCCACCAGGAACCCTCCGGTACCAATCCCGAATGAAGTAGGAGGGTTGTGCATTCGGTTAATGACCTCATTCCATAGATTAAGACTTATTATGCCTTTATTATTTGATATACTCGTCAACTGATATTCTTAAAACTATTACGAGTTCACCTTAGTCGGTAAACGAGAGTGAAGAAAAATGATCCAGTCACACGATAGGCTATTCTGACTCGATTGTTCCTAGCCCTGCTAACTGTAGCAAGACGTCTTGATATTGCATAATTGTATTCTACAAGCACTCAGAAAGCACAAGTTCGATAAGCACACAAATCGAGTTTATTTACACATGATAGAAACGTCCTTGGGAGAGCCACAAAAATAGCGTACTAAAATAATCCATCAACCAATAGCAGTCAATGATTTTCCGAGTAAGGAATGTAATCCCAAGGTCAGTTGATCCGTTTATGCGCGAAAACACAAAAACCAGAGATTAGGACCTTTTCCAAGTGAGTTCTGGGGATCTAACGTCCCCAACATTATCACATAGAATATGATGTAATTTATTGATTATTTCATGTTAGCAACTTTAATGGATTAACTATTGTCTAACAATCCATAATGTGAATGTGAAATCATCAAACTATAATTCTTACAATCTAATCAAACAAGATAATATGTTCAATTCATTTTGAACAATATTGAAATGTTGAAATGATCTAACGGAAATCAAATAGAATATTAGAAATAGATATGTGCAAAATAGTAAAAGTGTTGTGATTTTGGATAATGAACTCAAGAAACTTCTGATATTCTGTTTGCTGGAAAAGAATTCATTGTTTTTATTATACATTAAAACTTGTCTTCAATTGATAAAATATGATGGAAAATTGATACATAGTAGGATTTATTTGTTAAGTGTATTGCTAAGTCAGACTAGTATTGTAAACTTGGAAGCGTTTGACGCTGGTTTCGTCTTACCATAATACTCTTCAGCGGTGCGCATCCATGACTTAGGTCATATCAAGAGTGAAGTAGTTGCCTATATGGTTGCACAATCTAATGGATTGATTCAAGCTAATAACATTTGATGCTGGTTCAGTAGTAACCAAGAGTGTAAATTGTGATCGATAAACGAACCAACCAATGATAGACATTAAGTGCCCATCACCACAACACTGACCCCTCTTTGACTTTTTTACGATTATGCTTTGTGCATACACCAACCATAACCTTTTATGTTTGTCATAAACATTATCGGAATCGTTGAATTACTGTTCCCCGTCCTCCAGTTACTGTTCAATGTATGTTTCCTTCCTTTCTAATAGACTATTTTGTTTTAATTAACATTTTAGAAATAGACAAGCTAAGACTCTGTGTTGAAGAGTCTAGAAGTTAGCTTGGAATTTCATGTGTAAGAAATGCTTCCTACAAAAAGGGGTTACACATTCGTGCTCGATTCGCTCCCCAGCAAAGGATGTGGCACTCACTATTAGGACAAAACGGTAGTAGTCCAGTACACTTCCTAGTTTTTTTCAATGGTGGTTCAGGATTTTAATAAAATGCAACAATCTACGTAAACTGTATATTCTCATTTAAATTAATTCACTTATTTATTAGGTGTGTGTGTGTATATATATATATATATATACAGTGATCAATATCATGTCGCAAGTCAATGATTCAACAATTCAATTCAACTTGGGAAGAAACATGTATATTAACAACAACAACAACAATTACAATCGAAAATAGGATTACATTGAAAAAATAATATGCATCAAGGTACTGTAATGTTTTGACAAATTATTTCAATGTTTATATAAGATTATTCAAATGATAATAATAATCGTAATCATGAATAAGTTTTCTGAGATAGCTAATCCAAAAAAAAATAAAAAGACTGTTGACAAAACGCTCTTTTCATCTCCGAGTGTGTGTGTGTGTATGTGCGTATACGTCTAAATAGAATATGCATTCCAAAGTACGTCGATAATTCAGGATGCATTATTATTGTGACTGCCAAAAAAATGTCATCTCTTAATAGTAGTAGTAGTAGTATGAGTGATAGAAAGGTGTACACACACACACGCACACAGGAAAATAGCAAAATAAAACGCGACAGTACAAACACGCACTTACACACACACACATTTATTCATTATGTAATCACAAGAATTGGAGGCAAAATTAGCAGGCAAGCAAGCAAACAAGCGATTAAGCGAAAAATCATCTGAATTTTGCCAATTCGATTAACCGACACACACAAACATAAACATACACACGTACACCTCAAAATCACTACTAATCAATAATGAAACTAGAGTTATACACAAAAAAAAGGAGAAATGTATAACGCTGAATTTGTATAGAAGAAAAAAAAAATAGAGACAGTTAAACTTGTCGATGGAAATACCTGACAAAAAAAGAAAAGAAAAATATATGAATGAAACGTAAAAAAAATAGCAAAACAGATCAGATCAAATTTCCGAAATTAAAAAAAAAATACAATCACTGTTCTGTAACATCATGATCTATATATATAGTAGTAGTTGGCTGATAAATTGTATATTCAGTCAATCAATCAACAGTAACGTAGAACTTCGTACGTACGTACGTACATCAGTTCAAGTTGCCATACCACATTAGCATAGAGATGTAATTGTCACTTCAAATCCCATAGTAGTAGAGATAGTAGAAGTATTAGCAATAATCAGAGAGATTGGGGTTTCAACTATGTAGTGACTAGCAGTGGAAACTGGGACGCGTGTTTCGTCCTCCTTGAAACTCGTCAGTGGCATGAGAATGATAAAGACAGTGGAAATATGAACTCAGTAGCTAAGTCGTGGGGCGTGTGAGGCCAACAGTACTACTGCCTTCGAGTTTTGAAGTGAACGTTAATTCTAGGACGTGACTAGGTCATTCAGTTGATGAGTCCTGGATTCCACTACTAGTCACTACGCCTCCTTGCTTATAACTTTAACAATGCATTAACTGACATAAAATTTGTATAAATTTTTATCCAGTACCACAATACAAGAATTTCCCTGCTCAATATTACAGACTAGAGAATACTACATCACAAATAAATCCTATTTTGTAACGATTTCCCCTCTATATTTTACCAAGTGAAGACAAGTTCCAATGTGCAATAAAACAATGAATTCTATTATAGCAAGTAGAATATCAAAAGTTTCTTGAATTCATCCCGTTAGCGGGATATAGATTAGATTAAAGCATGATTGCGTTGTTACACTCTGATTGCTGTTTTCGTATCGAATCAGCGCTAGCCGATACCGTGGAACATTCTAGAATCTTCTCATGGAACAAAAACTGTCAATATACATTAACGTCTTCTTCCTTTGGACCTTTTTCTGTCTTCTATTTAACATTATCATGAGAATATAATCTCTTTTCTCCTGTTCAACCGTGTTCTGATTTTGGGGAGATCGTCTTGAGTGAATTGGTGTCCGAGAGAATATTAAGAGCATTAGGAAGTAGCTGGATTGTAATACAATAAAGAGAGAATTATAACACATCCAAAACCAACAAAACTTCTATTATGCACATGTTTATCTCTACCTTTTTTGTGATTGTTATTTTTAGAAACTATCAAAGCAACCCTTAAATTGTTTTCATTTAATTTACAAATTATTTAGTAAATTCTTCATAATCATAATAAACATTCATTGTGTAAAATCAATCAGTAAATTGCTTTTCATAATTTTAGATGAGATTTTTTTTCTTCTTCGATACACTTGAGAACAAAAAGTAAATGAAGTATGAAAAAAAGAGAATGCACTCTACACTACAATACACTACAAAATGAGATAAACACTCATCATCATCATCATTATCTGCCCCATTACCCTTCATTCTCATCACTTTCATATGTTTATATAAAAATTGCATTCCATTGTTGTATACTACTAATTATATGTATTTTTTTTTCAACGCTTCCTTACGCCATGAACATGATCCGTGCTACACTTGATCATTGTTCATTTAACAATTAAAAACAATAAAAAACAATTTTCTCTACTTTACTCTATGCTAAGTCTCTTTTCATACTCAAACTAACAATCATTTTATTATCTATTCATATATAGAGAGATAGAGGAGAAAAAAAAATTTGCATTCAGAAATCCCATAGGGAAAAGAGAATTCGATCAATTCAAAATAGGAGTCTCACTCTCTCTCTCTCTGGCACATACACGCACACGCGCACGCACACACATACACAACAAAGAGTAAATTATTTATTAAAACAATTGAGAAAAAATAATTTACATCTGTATTAATTTGTTACAATAATAATAATAATAATAATTAATATTATTATGTATGATAACTAACTCATTCATGCGTTCACAGTGTAATTTTTAATTCCCAGTAGTATTTTGATATATATATATATATATATATATATATATATATATATATATATATTTCTGAACTAGACTCCATCAACTATTCTGTACGAAATTTCTTGTTTGAAATTGTCTATCTTGTTAAAATATATTGTTTAGAGTAAAAGATGAATGAAACTACTACTGCTGCTACTATTACTACTACTGAAAAGAGTCAGTACAGGAAGAAATTTTTCTGAGTAGTATGTAACATTTTAATCTTTTTGTTGAATAGTTTTTATGAGACTAAATTTCCATTCCCTTACATTATTATCATGAAAATTAGAATTTGTGATATACAATCATAGTCTTTGAGAGTAATATTTTTTGATCAATTTTTTTAAGCAGTCATTAGGATGCAAACTGTAGAATGAAAATCTTTGCGAAGTAGAACTTCCATTGAAGTTAATAAAATAGATTTTCAAAGTTGTTAACTGGAATTTTTTAATAATGTTAAGCAATTAGTAAATTCAAGGGACAAGCTGAATACGCAGAAGAAAAGAAGCAAGTGATGAGGGTTATCATAGCTGACAAAGGAAAATATGTGGAAGATCTGACAACGACAGCGGAAAAGGCTGTAAGAGAAGGAAACTTGAGAGAGTTGTAAGATACAACAAAGAAGCTCGCTGGAAACCATCGTAAACCAGAACGACCAGTGAAAAGCAAGGAAAGCAATGCTATCAGCGACACTGAAGAACAGTGAAATAGGTGGGTATAGCACTTTAAAGAACTCTTGAATTGACCAGCTCCACTGAACCCACCCAACATTGAAGCGGCATCCACGGACCTCACAATCGATGTTGACCCACCAACAATTGAAGAGACCAGCAAGGCTATCAGAAAAATCAAGAGCGGCAAAGCAGCGGGACCAGACATTGCAGCAGACGCAGTGAAAGCGGAAGTGGCAACAATTGCAGGAATACCCCACACTCCCTTCAGCAAGATTTGGGATGAAGAACAAGTACCGATAGATTGGAGAGAGGATACCTGATCAAAACACCAAAGAAAGGCGATCTCAGTAAGTATGAGAACTACAGTGATATCACTCTTCTCTCAATACCAGGTAAAGCCTTCAACAGGGTGTTGTTAAACAGAATGAAGGACTCTGTGGGCGCTCAACTTCGCAATCAACAGGCTGGATTCGTAAGGATTGATAATGTACATTAAGGATAATTGTAGAACAATCAACTGGATGGAATTCCCCACTGTTCTTTAACTTCATTGACTACGAGAAAGCATTTGCTAGCGTGGACAGGACAACTTTATGAAGGCTTCAACATTACGGCATACTTGAGATGATAGTCAACATCGTACGGAATTCTTATGATAGACTAAACTGCGAAATCGTTCACGAAGGATAGCTGACAGACCCGTTTGAAGTGCAGACCGATGTCAGGCAAGGTTACTTACTCACACCCTTTCTCTTTCTCTTGGTGATCGACTGGATTACGAAAACATCAACATCTTGATGGAAGCACAGTATAAAGTGGACAGCCAGGATGCAGCTGGACGATCTGGATTTCTCAGATTGCACACTCAACAACAAATGCAAAAGAAGACGAATATTGTGGCAGCAGGCTCAACTGCAGTAGATCTCAACATGCATAAAGGGAAAAGCGAAATTCTCCGATACAACACAACATGCATCAACCAAATCACACCGGACGAAAAAGTTTGGGAGGATATAGAAACCTTCACATATCCGTTAACCAGACACTATCACCGACAACCTACTGTGGGAGGGAACAAACTAGATTCCAGTAAAAGAGGGAATTAGGAAGAAGCGCCGGAGTTAGTGGATAGGACACACACTGCGGAAAGCACTGAACTGCGTCACAAGACAAGTCCTGACGTGGAACCCCCAAGGTCAAAGGAGAAGAGGAAGGAAAAGGAACACACTACTCAAAGAAATGGAGACAGACATGAGAAGAATAAGCAGCTGTTGGACAGAACTGCAAAGGGAAACCCAGGATAGAGTAGGTTGCAGGATACCGGCAAGCGGCCTATGCTCTGCTGGAGGTAACAGGCTTAAGTACGTATTCAACAGCAATTATCTTACTGATTAGTAGAAAATATTCATTTAGTCAATCAGTTATAATATGCTATGTTGAGCTTGATATATATTACTTGCTTAGATCTTACTTGCCACATTGCATTAGCATAATGAGATAAGATTATCAAGCAAATTCCAAGGTAGTTTTAGCAGAAAAGATTAAATGTACAAAAATACAAAATGGCATATAAAGAATTCCAGATAAAGTTACAAATAGAGGATAACGAGTGAATGCATCTGAACCATTGTGAACAGTTCTCAGCCACACTACCCAAAATCTTTTACCAAAAATTACGATAATAGCAGCTAAGTTTAACGGTCAATAACTTCATGGGCTGATGTCATATCTTCGTTCGGCCACCCTCAGTTTTCTTTCAGAGAGAAACAAGGTTAATATTCAAGATTGTGTTGATGAATGTTTTGTAAGCTAGATCTGCATTATAGTAGAGCTAAGTCTTTCAGTACTGGAGATACAACATAATATCATGAGCTTTCTCTCATTGGGGTTTATATGATGACCGGAAATAGAAACGCGATTAAAATGAGTAATCTTACTAAAAGTAATTCGATGCAGTAGAAAACTGATTTGATTGGGGATTGTGAATCATTTGGCTATGTTATTACAGATTCATAGTTCAACATGTCAATACAATAAATTGAATACACTGGCTTTTGCTTTTATTCAGATGAAATAATTAGTACTTACGATTTCACCGGACTAGAATGAAGGATACCTCATCAAGATACCAAAGAAAGGAGATCTTAGCAAGTATGAGAACTACAGAGGCATCAATCCACTATCAATACCAGATACAGGTATTTATATACGGTTGTATACACAAGATACTCCAGATCCGTCGGCCTGACACCGGCAGCAACAACCTACTGTAGGGGAGAAGCAGATTCCAGTTGAAGAAGAAATCAAGAAAAAACGCGCTGGAATTTGATAGGGGA